ACACACCCCACGCGACACACACAACACACACATTGCCGGCGAGAGAAAACACACAACGCCGGCGACGGCGGTCACACACAAAGTCGACCACCATGTTCACCGCCGCCTCCGCTGCTCCGCTCCGCTCCGCCATCTCCGCCTCCGCTGCTCTGCCCCGCCATCGCTGCCGTCGCACCTTAGCCACCACCACACCTCCTGTGAGTCTCCTCAGACTTGACCGTCTTCGCCGGCTGTCTCACTTTGTCTCCGACGACATTCCAACGGCGGCCAACCTTCGATTTCTATCAACCCAGAACTCCGTCGTTGCCCCTAATCATCTCCGGCGACCTCCATCCGCCGGTCGGGGGGAAGAGATTTAGGTGGAGAACTTCGAACGACTCTATTGCCGGACACTCCGCCACCTCCTGGAGCTTGAACGACGCCATAACAGCTGTGAGAGGGGGGTGATACGGGCAATAGGAGATCTGAAATTAGAGTTTGGGTTTGGGCCTCTTTTTTGAGAATTTGATTATATCAAGGGACCTATTTGTAATTTTTACAATTTTAAGTATATTTCAATTTGACACATGGGTTAAATCTGTTATTACTGAAAGTTAATAAAAACATTATTTTTATTTACTTTGTTATGCATATATATAATAAAAAAAGTATTAAATAAAAATAATCAAAAAAAATAAAATAGTAAAAAGAAATTTTGTAATAAAAAATAAATTATATAATTAAAAATAATTAAAAAACAATTTAATTATTTAAAATTAATTCAATGTACAATTGTATATATTAAAACTAATTTTCTAATACACATAATTTAAGTTATACATTAGTGCATTTTATATAGCAAGACGTGGCACTTTATAAGATAACACGTTGCGCTTTATCACTGCGCTTCACGATTAACGTCTAATTGTTCCCGCCAAAATATTACGCAATATAAATTTAAAAAATGGATTACATGATACTTTAATATCAGTCTCATCATCTATCCATACAAAAACACAAACATGCGAATGTATCAAAATTTAAGTAATTGCACTGTATATATCAATACATTGCACTTTATAGAGCAATTCGTTGCACATTATTACACAGAATGTTGCACCGTATAAACCAATACGTTGCACATACCAAAAAATACAATAATTATAATACTTTTTGTTTCGATTAATATTTTTTTGCCATTTAAAGAACACGGTAAATGCGTTGCACCTTATAACGAAAATAACTGGACCAACCAACTATATAAAATATATTACTTTTTTATATTTATATAAAATATTTTTTTTCAATAGAAATAAATAAAATATTAGATAAAAATTTAAGTATTGAATTATATATATATATATATCAATATATTGCACTTTAAACAACAACTCGTTGCACTTTATAACACAGAGTGTTGCACCGTATAAAACAACACGTTACACATACCAAAAAAATATGATAATTATAATATTTTTGATTCGATTAATATTTTTGTTGTCATTTAAAAAAAATACGATAAATACGCTGCACTTTATAACGAAAAAATAATCGATCAAACTATTTATAAAATATTGTTATTTTTATATTTTATATAAAATATTAATTTTTTCAATAAAAAATAACTAGAATTAAAACTTATATTTCAACTTAATTATAGTTTATTTGTATTCTTTATCAATAATACTTGGAGTTGATGTCAATAAATTAATAGTAATAATGCATTAGTGCTTGGAATTGATGTGAGTCATTTAATTGGGCCGTCTAGGAAACCATACACTGCTTGAATACTTAATTAACAAATACATTTAATTGGACTATATTATGAAATGCTAAAATTGCTAGTAAGTCCCTAAGAAATGTCAAATTTTCAAAATCAAGTCTAAGACCAAATCCTATCTTCTATTCTACAGCAACCAGTTTTAGCCCCAAACCCGTTCATCTTCAGTCGCGCCGTCGTCGTCCTCCTGACCAAATGCCACCGCGCCGGCCAATGGATACCGATGACGTCCTCAGTCCAGGAAACAAAAAAAAAAAAGCAAAAAAAAGAATGGCAATTCTCCTCCGCCTGCCATCGCTGCCAGCCCTTCCAAAACCGCGTCGCCGGTCGATGAGAACAACAACAGACAACATCAGAGGCCGTTCTCGCTGCGACGACGACCGCAATGGGTCTGGTTGATCACCGACACCTTCCCCATCTTCACCGGTTGTATATCGGCGACGGCGGGGGACTGGTGGAGGCGGTGGCGAAATTAATGGTTGGGTGTTCGATCTAACTCCGGCGTCGGCGGAGGGTATGGCGGCACCTGCGACGGGCGGCTGGACAGGGGCTGTTTTCCGACGGAGCCTGCTTGGTCGAATCTGTCTCCGGCGGTGGTCGTGGTGGCCGTCGGGGGACTGTGTGTGTGGACGTCTGTGGCCGTCGTGGTCTGTAGTCGTGGTGGTCGTGTGTGGCTGTTGGAGGCGACACGGCAGGCTGGTGGCGGATGGCGGAGGCGAAGTGGTGGTGGCGCCGACGGACTGTGTGTGTGTGCGTGTGAGATCTGTGTGTGGTGTGTGTGTGTGTGGGGCGTTTTATGGGTGGGCCCACTTATTTTTTTGGTGAAATTACACCATTGCCCTTAGAGCTATTTATTTACTCATGATATAATACCATATTTATAGATTTGCCACTGCAAGTTTGACCTTTTAAATCAATTTTGACTTAATGATGTCCATTGATCGTACCGATCCAATAATCCATAATCATTCTATGATCCCTTCTCTCTCTCTCTTTCTATATATATATATATATATATATATATATATATATATATAAAATAAGAATAACCATTTACTAAAATTAGTAGTAAAAATTTTTGGAAGCATTTAATACATACGTTTTTTTGGAAACTTTTTAAATATATGCATTAATTGATTCCATATACATGGTTTTAAATAAGATCAAATCAGATATAACAAAAAATATAGTTTCCTTAAATAATTTTATTAATATGTGAAATAATTTCATTGATATCCAATTATAGAAAATCGTAACAGGTTAGGTAGAGTTTTTTCTTCCAATTAATCAGGCGAAATCAAGTTGGTGAATTAATCTTTGCTAATATAATTTTTACCTAAGCTTTATTTCGTTATATATAAAAAAAATTACGCTTCAAATTAATATAATTTACTATTTAAGAGATTGTGTTTTTGACATTTGCTAAATCAAAGTTGTTTAATTTGTATACAAATTAAATTCTAAGAAAACATCTGTGTATATTTAATAAAATATTTATACACTATTTAATTTTAAATTTATTTATATATTTTAAATTAATTACATAAATAAATAATACTAATGTGCATTAAATATTTCTTATTACATAAAATAAAAAAAGATGTACAATTTCTATAACTTTTATAAATAATAATGACATTATATAACAAAAAATTATATAATAAAATAATAATCAACAATCATATAGTGAACAAGAATAAGTAAATTTATTATTTTCTTCTATATCAAGGAATAAATATATATACTAAAATCAAATTTATATTAGTATAAATGTGTTAGTAAGATAATATATTAATTATTTTACAAGTTATCCCTAACATGCTCATATTTAATGTTTGGCACGATGACTAAAAGAGGTGGAAAATAAATTATAATCATATTGTTTTTTAGATTTAACAATGTAAAAAATAGATGATAACTTATTGGTTTTTAAACTTAAACAGACATCTATACTTATATTAAAAGGTATACCATTTACCAGATTTAGTATAAAAAAAAGTCAACAACATTTATTGCATTATTATTTCCGTATTATACAATCTATACTTATATAAAATGAGATTCTATTTACTACATTTACTATCCAGAAAAGTCAACTGCATTAAATGCCATTACTATTTTGGTATTATAATATTTTATTTATTTAATTGATTTATTTATTTGTTTTATTTTAAAAAGGTAAGTATAATAAAAAGATTTTAATAATACAAAAGTCAAATACCAAATAAAAATGTACACTTTGACTTATTTGATTATATTTGGTATTTGATTATACCAAATATATTCCTATTTAGTATATACATTAAATACTTTCTAAAGTATTTATTGTTTTATTTGTCAAAGTTAAGTATAGATTTGTCTATATTATCAAATCATAAAAAAAATTAAATTCATATTGTAAACAAAAAAAATCATATAATCTTATAACAATTTTACTACACTATTTAACAATATTTCTTTTTTATTAAATAATAAAATAATAATTAAATATTATATGGTGAACAACAATAAGTAAAACTGTTACTTTCTCTTATATCAAGGGATAAATTTATATGCTAAAATTAAATTTTTATTAGTATAAATGTTTTAGTGAGATAATATATTAATTATTTTACAAGCTAGCCCTAACATGCTCATATTTAATGTTTTAAAAGATGTAGAAAAAAAACTTATAATAACTCTATTGTTTTTTAGACTTAAACGTTGATTAAAAGAGGTAAAAGTTCCTAATTTTTTAAACTTAAACGTTGATTAACACCAAAGATTGAGAGTTTATATTTAGTAAAATTCGTAATAGTAATAAAAAAATTAATTTTTGCTATATTTTAGAATATCTTTAAATTCATTATAAAAAAAAAGAAAAAAAACTACAATGAAAAAAGCAAGTCAGCTATATATCGATTTGTTATACTCCTCAAATCACATTCACAATTTGGCTACAAGGAAAGGAAACTCATTGATTAAATATTATTTTGTCAGTAGTCTTAATGTACAAGAGACTTTAAGACTCCACTTGAATATTATAAAACTTTTATTGAACATTGTACAATTTTCTTGCGTATTATAAATTTTTATAGAATATTGCATCTTATAATATAATATTCTTCAAATAAATATATCTCGTACTTCGCACGGGTCACGTACTATATATATCCCGTACATTTTTCTTTATTCATGTATATAATTATAAGCCTGGATAAATAGTCTTAAAATTGTGCACCCCGTGCATCGCACTACTAGTATATTATTATAAACCAAATTAAAAACACAGGCACACAACACCACCACTTAATTATTCGTTCTTACTACTATATGTGTGAGAAAGACATTGGAAGGAAACTTACAAAGACGAGACTCGGAAAATGACTTTAACTAAGTGAAACAAAAAACACAAGCTCTCGAAAGACATTGAGAGGAAAATCACAAAGACGAGGGTACAGGGTAGGCGAAAATGAGTGAAACCAAAAACACACAAAAAACACAAATTAAGCGCTGGAGCATGGGATTGTAGAGGAATGAAGTCAAATGTTTGAGGAAACCCCAACCCCACCGAAAACATTATGAAGCACATCACGTGCCCTGCACATGGCCTCGAGGGGTTGGAGTTTGGGCATTGATAACCCAGTCCCTTCGGTCAAATCGACCAAGGCCTCGTCAACCCTTTCCCAGTCGAAGCCCTGAATGAGAGAGGCAAGGGTCAAGCCCACGACACGTTGGGCCAAGCCCATCCCGGGGCACGACCTCCTACCCAGGCCAAAAGGCATGAGCTTGGTGGGCCCAATCTCTGCGGCTTCGAAACGCTCGGGAATGAAGCTTGTGGGGTCATCCCAAATCTTGGGGTCCCTGTGGATTGCCCACGCGTTGGCCATCAGGATGGTGCCACGTGGTATGTGGTAGCCACCAATGGTACAATCAGTCGATGCTTCGTGAGGTACAAGCAATGGTGCTGCTGGGAACAATCGGAAGGTCTCGGAGATAATGTGTTGAAGGTAATGGAGTTTGGGGACATCGGACTCGTTGATCAAGCGATCTTTGCCCACGAGGTTGTCTATCTCGATTCTGGCCTTTTGGAGTTTTTCGGGGTTGTTTAGCAGAGCAGACATGGCCCATTCTACGGTCACAGCTGAGGTGTCGGTCCCGGCGAGAAGCATATCCTGAAATCATTTATATAAATTGAATTAATTATTTGTAGTTGATAAGAATTTAAAATTAATTAAATGAATTAGTAGTTATATTTACCGAAATAATGCCTTTAATGATGGTGTCGTTGTAGTACTTAGGCTCCTTCTCCTGCAGGGAAAGCATGTGGTCGATCATGGTGTTGCCGCCGCCATTAACTTTGCTCCTCTGCCGCTGCTCGTCAATCAAGCGCTGCAAAATGGTGTCCATCTTCCGGCTGACCTTGCCCAATTTCTTCTCGAATCCCTTGTAATCAATCCACCTCAGCAGCGGGATAAAGTCGGCCGGGTTGGACACCTCGCCGTAGCTGAAAACCTCTTCTATCATCTCCCGGAACTCCGCGGCCTCCTCGTCATCACCCTCCCCAAAGTACCTCTTTCCGGCCACCATCCTCATTATGTTATTGAAGGTGAGCTCCGAAAGGCAGGACCTTAGGCCGACCCTCGCGAAACCGGAAGCAGAGGTCCCATATAGCTTCTGCAGAAGGAGCCTGATCTCGTCGTGACGGATTGAGTAGAAAGAGTTGAGGCGCGTGCCGGACAAGATCTCGACGGTGGTGAGGCGGCGGAGGTTCCGCCAGTGGTGGCCGTAGGAGGAGTCGACTAAGGTGGTGTGGTTGTAGCCCATGTATTTGCTAAACACGAGATGCGGGCGGTTGGCTAGGACGACGTCGTTTCTGACGAAGCACTCCTCCACGAGCTCCGGAGAGGAGACGACCACCATGAGGCGGCAGTGGCCGAGGCGGAGGGAGAAGATGGGGCCCACCTTCTCCGCCAGCTTCTGGTGGGTGCGGTGGATGGGGGCCTTCAGGAGGTGGAGATGACCAAGGATCGGGAGGGACCGTGCTGGACTTGGCGGGAGTTTGGGATTTTTGTTTTTCGGGAATAAGAGTAACTTGACGAGGGAGATGGTAAGGAGGGCGAGGAGGAGAGTGAGGCAAGCTGGATACAGCATGGAACTATTCATCATCATCACTTCAATCTCACTTTCTACTCACTAATTTTTCGTGGTATCAGGCATGTGTGTGATTATATTGTTTGTGGTTGTGGGTTTTATCTCCCAATCCAACTTGCTTATATATATGTCGCCCAACAGTGTGCCTATTCTTTAATAATAATCATCTACGTAACCCTATCAATTTTGACTGCTTTGCTTAGTTTCCCTTTTTCTGTTGACCAAATTAAGAGAAGCTTCTTTTTCATTATTACTAGTATAGAGTCAGGGTGCACAATTTTAAAGATATTTATCCAGACTTATAATTATATATATGAATAAAGAAAAATATACGGGATATATATAGTACGTGACTCGTGCGAAGCACGGGATATAATTATTTAGAGAATATTATATTATAAGATACAATATTCAATAAAAGTTTATAATACGCAAGAAAATTATACAATGTTCAATAAAAGTTTTATAATATTCAAGTGGAGTCTTAAAGTCTATTGTACATTAAGACTACTGACAAAATAATATTTTAATCAATAAGTTTCCTTTCCTTGTAGCCAAATTGTGAATGTGATTTGAGATTACAACAAATCGATATATAACTGACTTGCTTTTTTCATTGTAGTTTTTTTTTTTCTTTTTTTTTTATAATGAATTTAAAGATATTCTAAAATATAGCAAAAATTAATTTTTTTATTACAATTAGGAATTTTACTAAATATAAACTCTCAATCTATGGTGTTAATCAACGTTTAAGTCTAAAAAATTAGGAATGTTTACCTCTTTTAATCAACGTTTAAGTCTAAAAAACAATAGAGTTATTATAAGTTATTTTCTACATCTTTTAAAACATTAAATATGAGCATGTTAGGGCTAGCTTGTAAAATAATTAATATATTATCTCACTAAAACATTTATACTAATAAAAATTTAATTTTAGCATATAAATTTATCCCTTGATATAAGAGAAAGTAACAGTTTTACTTATTGTTGTTCACCATATAATATTTAATTATTATTTTATTATATAATAAAAAAAAAATATTGTTAAATAGTGTAGTAGAATTGTTATAAAATTATATGATTTTTTTTTTACAATATGGATTTAATATTCTTTTATGATTTGATAATATAAACAAATCTATACTTAACTTTGACAAATAAAACAAATAAATACTTTAGTAAGTATTTAATGTATATACTAAATAGGAATATATTTGGTATAATCAAATACCAAATATAATCAAATAAGTCAAAGTGTACATTTTTATTTGGTATTTGATTTTTTTATTATTAAAATCTTTTTCTTAGACTTACCTTTTTAAAATAAACAAATAAATAAATCAATTAAATAAATAAAATATTATGATACCAAAATAGTAATGACATTTAATGCAGTTGACTTTTCTGGATAGTAAATGTAGTAAATAGAATCTCCTTTTATATAAGTATAGAATGTATAATACGGAAATAATAATGCAATAAATACTATTAACTTTTCTGATTACTTAATTTAATAAATAAGATTCTCTTTAATATACGTATAGATAGATTATTAATACCTCAATTAATTAAATATAATTTCCGCAACACATCAAAAGATTTGCTTCTCTTTCTTCTAGATTTCATTTCCAATTTAATAAGTTAAATAATGTGGGGGGCGGCTCCTTCTCCTCACTGTGTAAGTGCATAACTAAAAAGGTAAGTGCTTAATTAAAATGACGCAAGCAATGATCAAATAAATCGTACCTGGTTATGTCAGCTTGTCTCGCAGAATTATTTATGAATGAAGAAAAACCGTCCAAACTTTAAAGTTACTTTGACCAATGAGTTAAGCTCTTACATATGCGTTTTTTATATGCTCTCCACCTCGAATTGGCCTTCTAAAAATCCTTTAATTGTTATGAAATAATAAAATGTATGTGAATGACTATTTTGCCCTCGATGTATTTGTATTATTACAAATTGTGCCATCAGGAGTTTCCTATAAATAGGAGCTTCAGTTATAATGAAAAACACACCTAAGAGAATACATTTTCTCTATTCTCTCTCTTTCTCTCTAGTTTTATAACACGTTATCAGCACGAGTCTCTGCCCTCTAGAGTTCAATTTGTAATTTGAGAAGAGTATGCTCTACAGTTGCGTCTTATAGACGATCCTCTGTATTAGAAATTCGATTATTACTTCATTTCCGTAAAGCTTTCCCAAGAACAACAATGCTTAATCACCATCTCATTTACAGTCCTTAGAAAAAATATACTCATTTACATAAACCTTTTGTGAGTAAATACAATTCAGATAAAACAGAGAGAGAAAATGTTGGGAAGCTCGATTATATCTTCACCGACAAGTTGTTCAAGTGACCACGGGAAGCAGAATGCATTTGTCGAAGCTTACGAAGGCAAAATTGGTAAGCGGTAAGAGGGCGCTGTGATTATATACAGGTATTGCCAACTGAAATTTTTCG